GCAAAGCACAAAAATACACTTCTCAGCCGAATGGTTGTATCCCATTTTAACTTTAAGGCACAACTTTAAACGATACATAAAACAAACAATAATTATTGTAATAATAATTAATAGAAGTAGAAAGTGAGGTTAGGTAGATCCGACAGTAGTCATTTTTTGATTGGGTTAAAGGGATTTTTTACAGACTAGTAGGTTAAAACCGATTGATTGGTCTAAATTTTGAGTCTAAAAACAATCGATAAAGTAAGCTATTGTTACACTAGTTGAACAATAAAAATATTGTACTACTAGTGGAGCAATGAAAAAGAAAAAGAAGACAATAATTGTTCATATTGTTAAAAATTATTATAAACAATAATAATACATATTTACATAAATTAGATTTTTAAACATTGTTCACATATTTAGAATTAAATTTTAAAGGCAAATAATCCCAAAAAACATTGTTAAAACACAAATCATTTGATTAAACTCGCATTCTTGTCCCGCTCGTTTATAATCGACTATTTTCTTTACTTGTTGCACAATATATCATTTTTTAATAAAACATCAAAACTTCTGAAACTTAAATAAATTGTTTTATATTTTTTTAGTCTTAACCACTTGATGTTTTGATTTTTTAAAACCCAATCCAAGACATTTTTAAAACCCAGTCCAAAATGTAGTGTACCTTATTTTTACAAAAAACTAACAAAACAAAATTAAAGAAACATAATAAATTCTAGTGTTTATCATTCTAGAAACAATACTAAAACCAAACCGTAAAATTTTAGACTATGGGCAAAAAACACAAATTTACAAAACTATAAATAAAAATATTTAAGACATGTCTTCGAGTTAACCAACAAAATCAGTCATCTAACACTTTATGATGATGATAAATTGCTTTATTATTACAAAAAAGATAGAACAAGATAACTATTGTCTAGCCCAGCGTATAGTCTGTCTAGTCGAAGAACTATTGCGACAAGTTTCACTTTGAAAAAATGTAATGGTTTTGTTTCCTTAAATGTAAAACCGACCGTAAACGTATTCAGAATAGAACTGTGTTCTACTCATTATAGTACTATTTAAGCTTTACTAACACTTGTAGGTGTTCTAGGAAGAACATTACACCTAGGTGTTTTAATCTATTATGCAGAAAAATTTACATGAAAGCTAAAACGTTATTTTGAAATGTTCAAACAACTTGTACAAACAGTACGTTTAATTTGCACTTATACTATACAGTATTTTAAGGCATTGAAGTATTAAAAATTGCTAATAGGTACATTATAATATAAATATTATTTATAATGTTTTTATTTTATAGCGTTTTTAAACGTAGGAACTTTAAAAATTACCAGGAAACGATAAAACTTTTAAAAATGTTTTGTCCGACTATGTTTACTAACCTTTCAAAAAGAATTGGCATACTTTAGGACGCCAAAAATAAAAGAACTAGTTCTGTACCCCATAGCCAAAATATCTAGCAACCACTACAGAATTCCACTCTAGCGGGATAATCTTCCTGCTCGCTTAAAATTAACGTCCTTTATAACCCGCTGAACATTTAATGGAAAATTTGAGTGCAACTTCCCTTATACTCTTTCTATTGCATCAAAGGCATTGAAAATAGCTTTTTTATTTTCCGATGTTCTTATATGTTAAAGAGCACCTTAAATTTCGTTACCGCAGTCCAGGAGACTTTTGGAAAAGTGCTGGGAAAAAAGTGTGCTGCCTCCCTAGCGCCCTTATTACTACCCATAAATAATCATCATTTTGGCAAAATCAAAGGAGGAAAATATTAAAATGATAAATAATGACAGGAACAAAAATTGACTGCAGTCAGAATGAAGTGGATTTCCGTCGACTAAATATTTTTTCTACTACCTTACTAGAAAGTTTAATTTTCCACCCTCGAGCCAAGGAGGAAAATGCCTCATTTCCTCCCCGGAAGGAAAAAAAAATTCCAGCGTCCTTTTTTTAACAATTTTACATTAGCAAGAGTTTTTGTATCTTATCTAGCCCTATTTGGTTTTGTAGGAAAAATTTTCATATCGATTTTTCGATTTTTAAGGAAGGAAATTAATTGCAACTATTCTTGCCTCTTTAGCAAGATCTTGCGGCAGGTCTTCTTCGCTAGAACTCATTTTCAAAACGTAGGAAGAATTTTAAATTTATGATAAACATTCTGACAGCTTATAAAAACTGTTATGTTTGTATTACCAAAAATACCATAGCAACAAAGCGTTGTCAATATAACGCCGGCGACGCAACACCCCATACCGGGTTAGTAAAAGGAACCGGAAATCTTAAAATGTCTTAAAACCTTTAAAAGGTAATAGAAAAAACCATATACATACTTTAGGAGAAAAATGCGTTTCCTCCTTTGAATATTAAATGCCCTTCACTTCGCGTCGGGCATCAAACTCTTCGCGGGAGAAAAAGCACTATTTTCCTCCCATGGTATGTAAATAGCTATTTATTTGGATGATAGAAGAAAAAGAATGTATGGTAAATTTCTGAAAATAAAATTTCTACTTTTAAACTTTTTTTAAGAGCTACAAGGTCGGTTAAAATAGAGAAAAAAAGAAATAAGCGAACAATTTGAAAAAAAACTGAAAACCTGTCAAAACCAAAAATCGTTATAACTTCGTTATTCCTAGGAATTTTGAAAAAGTATCAAATTTATAAATTTTGTAGTCTTCGAGATTTTCAGTTTCCACCACCATCTTTTGTTTAACCGTTGTTAATTTTACATGGTTAGACAATTAAAGAAAATTTAGAGAGTTATGTTATGGCGGACTTTATACAAACAAAAGATGTTAACTTAAAAGTAGCGAAGAAATTGGATGAAAAAAATACAATAAGTACAATATAACTACTACAAGTTTTAACGATTTTTTATATGGACAGGTTTTGAGTTTTTTTTAATATTTTAAGAACCGCTGTTTTTTTATTTTCATTTTAATGCAACCGCAACTTTTTTCTGATATAACCAAAGTGGTAGAAATATTTTGACCACCCTGTTTAAATTTTGAACATTTTTAATTATCTAAAATATATTTAGGCGATATTTACGTTAAAATAATTTTCTAAAAAAAAATTTGGACAAATTTGGCACATCTTCAGGTTTTACACTTTGAAACATCTTTTTCTACAAATATTTATTTACTGAAACTGAAAAAAGTTTGTTCGGTACCGTCATTACAGTATTTTTACAATCAGGTATAAAGTGAAAGTTTTTTTCGACCTTTGTGTAGTTTTACTGTATTTTATTATTGGAATGCATTTGTGTTTACAACTTTGTGACGTCATGACTGTAAACGGTTAATTAAAAAAAACACTAATAACTCCTGGGACCATTAAAAAAAAGTACAAACCCTAATTGCTCCAAAATTCGACTTGAATTTATACTTAAGATACAATTTTGGCATAAGTACTAATATTTACTCAATAAAGTAAGCTTTTAGAAAGTAATTATAATAAAATTAGTTATAAAGTAATGCAAAGTTCAGGATATGTTTAACAGTGAAAACAGGTTTCAACCCGTGATGGAGGATAATGTTGTCCATTAGTATTACCTTTAAATATACAATGTTATTACTTGGACTTTTTTAATAGCAATTATTTTATTATTAAAATTTGTCACTCTAATTAAAATTTATTTAGTTAATTTTAAAAGAATTCTACAAAATATTGTGTACAATAATTAAATTTTTTAAATTTGTTTAATTAATTATGCTTGTGTTTTATTGACTTTTTAATTAACATTTTAATTTTATGAGTTTCCTCGTAATTTATTGATTACCATAAAATTATGAATTGTGTAATTAGTGTTTAAAAGAAATTTAGAAAACTCCTAACCTCCTTTGATTTTGACCCATATGAAGTATTATTAAAATTTAAACATGTTTAAACATGTACTGAAAAATAGTATATTTATAGACCTAGGTCTGCGTTGGTCCCGCTGAAAAATAAGGCCCCCCCAGTTCTTTGCGACGGGCCCCGAAATACCTCTGTGCGCTATTTAACGTATAAGGTTTAATTTATTTAAAATTATCATTCTCTAGGTACGAAATAAACAATCGTGTTATAGGTAATTGTTTATTATCCCAGACAGCACATATATCCATTGGACGTCCAGCGGACGACCATTGTACATCCAAACGTCCAATGTAAGTCCATTTGACGTCCAATGGACATCTTGTGCTATATGGGTATAATACAAGTATATAAGACTTTATCCCACCAGTCAGAATTCCTGAAGTGGGCCCGCAATTTTTCATTTCAAATTTTTAAAAGAGCCATATATGGCTGTTATGGATGTTAAGTATGTAGTTACCAATGCAACAATAATCCACCCGAAAGTTTTAAAACTTTTTTATTTGTTATTACTTTTGTCAATATTTATTTAGAAAATCAATACTTACTTAAGTTAAATATATTATTTGTGTTGCTATTTTGAGCTAAACTTTTTGCATCTTTATTTGTTTTTATGGGTCATTTAACCATGGAGCCTAGGTATATGCATTTAATTCAAATAATACTTTGTTGTTGGCCACAAACGATTAATTAAATTAGTTACTTTTAACTCTCAGAAATAGTCAAAGATGGTGACTAATCTTTAATTAGTCAAACTATTTACGTAGTAAAAAATATTTATTTAAAAGTGAAAAGAACTATTTTATTAGTAAAAAATGCTGGTACTAATTCAAACAGTAAAATTTTGACTATTTCATTTTTAGAGAGTACCTATACAAAAAATAGGTACATATTAATATTGTTAATATACAATATTTTTTCAAAACATTAATTTTTAGACAATCTGGTTACACAATGGTTTTTTAACATATTCTCTAAACCTTTTTATTGATTTTAGATTTGGAAAAGCCGGAATTTTATTTAATATTATTATTTAATATCTGAATGTTAAATAATTTTTAAGAGAACTTTTTTAAACGTTATTTTTATGAATAAACACTACTTCCACCCTGTATATGCATATTTGTACTTACTCTTCTCCCAGCCTCATTATTATGCAAATTCATCAAAGCTCTGCCTTGTTCCTTTGATCCTCGCTTAAACTTCCTATCTTTTTCTCTGACATCGACAAAGTTTTGCGTAAACCTGAAACAAAAATGCATTTTAAACTTTAAAGTCACACCTGTGCCATCTGTAAAATATAATCTCCCAATCCTTCAAAAAATCCTTCATTCTATTTGAATCTTCGATTTTAAGGATCACCGATTTGTGCCGCTTCAAAAATGACAGATAGGTTGGGGTGATTTGGCATTTATTATACAGGGCTCTTAGACTGTGACAAATCACACCGTTAGTCTAACTGTAACTTTTATTTGCGATTTTTATCCTTCCATAACGTTTTTTCATGCTAAATTATACAAATAGTGTTTGAATTATTCCGGAAGAATGGTTTAGTACGACTTATAAAATCAGAGAAATAAATCATATTTTTATTGAGTGCAACGAATTTATTGTGAATTTTATTGTTATTATTTTATAAATCGTTTTTAATTTTTATTTTTTGCAGTATACAGTGACCGTCAAAAGTATGGAACAAATTCATTGAAAAATTCGGATTTTTTTTCTCAAAAAAATTCTTGAATAGGTCGATTTGGTTTTTAATTACGCCTTTTTGATGTACAACTTTAATATTTTCCGCCATTTTTTTAGAATCTCATTTTTTTAAATTGTACCTTCTCCTTTTTTGGAGATTCAAATAGAAATTGTGATTTCAGCAATATTTATACCTTTTGGGCTGATAGTTTTGAAGACTATAATTATTAAAAGTGTAAAATTTAGTTTTTAATAACTATAGTTATACATTTATATACATGGGTGATTCTACAAAAAATGGGCAACTTTTGACCTCATTTTGTTTATATAGTTTTCTAAGAAAATTAAACAGTGTTTTGTTATGAGAACATAGATAATATAATAAATATACTGTTCCAGTCCGGGCCAGTCACTTTTTCAAACAGTTTCTGAAATATCTGTGTTTTCTAAATTTGAATGCAAGGGAAGTGACGAGTATACCAGGGTACTAATTAAATACATAATTTATTGGAAAATTTATTGATTTACAATCAAATAATACCACACATCAGTGGCGGCTGGTGGATTTTGGGTATACCGATATCTCATTAATTAGATATGGGACCCACACCAAATTTATATGAGTTTATAATGACATTAAATAAACTAGTTCTGCGCAAGCAGAATTTAAATTGAAGTTTGCGAAAAAAAGATAACCGAAACATCGAACTGACGACACGGTACTGATGAATGGGATACAAATTTAAGATTATAATTCGGAATTAAGTATTTTACTGATATTTTTTATTAGTTGATGCTACTCATCACAAATCACATATAGCCTTATTTAAATTACAATGAAATATACAGGGTGTCCCAGAACTCGCCCCACAGAGAAAAAGGGGGCGTGCCGATAGCAATGGAGATGCCAAATTTAAAAATAAAAATTTCTAGGTAATAGTGTAATCGAATGAGAGCAAAAAAGCGGCAGCCAATACCGAGAGCTCTCGCCTAGGTTAAACGTAAGAGCTTTAAAAATTGCTAGGAGACGATAGAACATTGTTGTATTAAAAACATTTAAAAATCTTTTGGCCAACTGTATTTACTAAGTTGTCAAAAGCTTTCAAAAATGAGGTTATTAATCTATGACTTATACTTCAGAACGCCAATGTTTTAAAATAACGATTAGGAAAGGGCTGGGAAAAAACTCGCGTTGTCTCCCTGGCGTTGCGCCCACACTAAATAAATAAATAATTATCATTTCAGTATAATCATCTAAGGAAAACATTATTTATAATAACTTAATTTATAACCTAATATAATATTAATGACAGGAGTTTGAAAGCAGTGTCACAATGAATTGGATTCCAGTGGACCAAATATTTTACATATTTTTTATTATCAACAATGCAACCTAAGTATCCTAGCAATTTAAAGAATTCCCTATGGCCATCTATTGGGATTGGCTATCGTTTTTTATTCTTATCTCGCTTATCCTTTGCGTTAGACAATTTTAATTTTCAAATATGTGTTTCACGTTACTTTCGGCACGTTCCGGTTTTCTATGTGGCACGAGTTCTGGGACACCCTGTATATACGTAAGAAAATAACTACTCACCACAGTACTGAAATTTTGACTGGAACTATACGTGCATTCACCACAACTTCGCCACTTGCATTGTTTTCAAGATGACTGTCGTGCAAAGGGCGGGCTCTGTAGGTAATTTTTTACCAACACTTGAGTTAGAACGAGGACGTTTAAACTTCAATATTTTGCAGGAATTTTGAATTTTAACATTGGACATAGAACTGACGGGTATAAGTGAGTATAAAGAGTATAAATTTTTTAAAAATTGCTATTATTCGAATCTATGATAAAATATGAAAAATACATTATTTAATGTTTTATAGTTTGTAGTGAAATTGAAAAATTTAAGATAAATTGAATATATTTTAAAATAAAATCACTTAAATATTTGATTCAGGAGTTGTGACACGCCAAGGTACTGATGTTTTGAATATTTACTATGTTTTTCTACAAACGTGCTTTTGAAAAATACATAAAAATTGGGTGGACAAGTTAAAAAAACCTGGATCTTTTGTAATATACTCAAATATTTACAAAAAATATTAAAATACCTACTCTAATGACTGATGACATCAAGTTGTCCAACTTTTGTAGAATCACCCACATATATATATTGCTGAATTCAGAATTTTATAATCTATTCGAATCTGCAAAACGGTCGTTGACGTCATAGCTTCTACAAAATGTGCGGAATAAAAAGCAAAATCGACTTATTGAAGGAATTTTTTTGGGAAAAAAGGCAAATTTTGTAATGAACTTGTTCCATACTTTTGGTGGTCACTGTATATTTATTATTGGAAAATGATATTAAGGTCATATAAAGTATAAATAACGTTTACGACCATTTTACACGGACATTTACGGCTCGTCTATAAAATTTATTTTTAAAAAGGTGTAAACTGTTAATTAACACATTGTACGAATGCAACTTTGAGAGTCACGAATAAATAAAATCTTTTATTTTTATTTATTTCTATTCACAGGGTGTTTCTACTCAAAATAGAAAACATAATATAGAGGTTGTAGATCTCATAGAGTCCAACACTCTTTTTAAATAAATATTTTTCATTAAAGCTTTTGTTTTTTGTTTGTATTTTTTTAGGTAGCGATAGTGGTAAAAAGTGGACTATCGATAGCATCGATGGTGAGACTAGCGAACTATCGAAAGTTTACTAAAATTTCAAAACCGTATAGTTTAACATTTTATTAAAAAAATAAGGGGTTTATTTTTATAGTAGGCACATTTTTAACTTACCAAATACAGGAGAGTCAAAAATATAGTCCGAACTTTATGTAAACAAGAATATTCCTAAGATAAGAGGGCGCTGGTGTTCCGTTTATTCTGAAACAATTGACTAATTTGTACCGAAACGCTACCAAAAGAGCAGACGTCAGTACGCATCGACAATTAGCGCCGCTGGTGGTGAAAATACTTAATTTGTGCAATTTAGAGGTCAGGTTTTGTCAATTTCCCCTATTAAGTTCGGGCTCCTTGTGTAGGCTCCATGGTATAGTATTTCAATATAAATATCTACCTTAGTTATTAAAACCTTTATATCAAAATCTATAATAACTATCGAGTTTCAAAACATCAACAATGAAATAATTGACAGCACATATTTGAGACAGTTTACCGTTGGTAAATCTAGGGTTAGATTTTGCCAACTAAAACCCCAAATTTTTAATGACGTCAAATTCCGAATAAAAAAACAACGATAGATATAATTTTTTTTGATTCTACTATCGCTAGACGATAGTTTGTAACTATCGATAGAATCGATAACTCGATAGTTTTTAAAATATCGAAACTATCGATAGACTATCGATAATATCGCTACCTCTAGTATTTTTGTTAACACAAAAATTGTTGATATTAAGCTGAAAATTACAAAAAACCCTATTTTTTTTAAAACACGGACATAAATAACTAAGATAAATCTTTATGGATTATGTAAACATTAAAAATGTCAATAATTTGAAAAGAAAAGCTTAAATGAAAAATATGTATTTGAAAAAAGTGTTGTAGTCTCGTAATTTTTGAGTAAAAACACCCTATATACAAATTTTATTGGGATACAATAATAATACCATTATGATTTTCATTTTATCTTTAACATTTTTGTTTGTTTCAGTTTTTGTTGTGGTTTATAGTACTTATTACCCAGCTGTCAATAAATTACTTTAGCATTTTTAATTCGCATTGTTTTCGTATTGTACCATTAACCTTAATAACTTCATTGTATCAATATTGTAATAAAGTTTATTAACAATTCAAAATTTAATGTTGAATGAACGGTATTGGGAACATTCATCAAAAGATGTTTTTATATAGTATAACCGAACAAACGGTGGAATACTTATTGTATAGTTATTTGGAAACATAAAATTAGTATATTTAATATTTCATAATATCAGTAAACTAACCCCAATTTATAAAAAATCTGTTGATAATTTAGCGAGCTTAAGATTGATATAAATATTCCAATCTGTGCATTTCTAGTCAGTTCTAGGCATCAACTTGGGTTTACACGTATTTTGAAAATGGTATTGAAACAAATTGGAACATAATTTTAATCGTATTTTTTGGTAATTTTTTTGTAATATTAAAATTATATATTTTTATAATTGACCGCTGACACTCCGGAAACATAAAGATTGACGTTACCGCTAGATTTAAGATTTTTTTCCTAAAAAACAGACTGTTTGGTTATAAAAGCACTAAAAACACAGCAATTTTTTAAAATATACATGAATTAATGGACCGACCGCACATTGGGAAGAATTTGGACAAGACGGTCAAAAGTATTTTCCTATGGTCAATAATCTTGAATTTTGGTTATGATAATATGTGCCAAATTTAATATTATGACGATAAAACTAATTTTGGGGATCTTGAAAAAAAATAATACAAAAAAAATGAAATAAGAAAAATGGATTATACATGCAGTATATTTTTTTATTCGGACTATTAAAATTAACATTAAAAATAATACAAACTTTTAAAACGATAAATAACAGGTCATAAACGTTGTCCAGACTCTTAAGACAAAGAAACAGGTAGCGCAATATATTACAAAACATTTTAATTATCGTTTTGTTTCAGTGGGCAGATTGGCCCTAGAAATATAGACATTAAAATGCTAATGAACAGATTGCTTACGGGAGTGTTAAAAGTATACCGAACAATTTTAAAAGTCGATAGTGGCTGTATAATGCAATCGTCTTAAAAAAAAGTAAGATTATTTATGGCCTATTAGCGTATTCATTTCCATAATTAAATCTTAATTGTCGGGTATAGATAAAAAAGGATGTTCTTAGGTTTCTGATTTCGAACGAAAATCTTTTTTCGGCTTTTAAAGGATTTAAATAATATATCGGGACATTTATAGTAATTTGAAGAATTAAAATTAGTTACAAGATATTAAGTCTTACACAAAACAATATTATACGCCTATAAAATTAATTAAAATTTTATATTTTAGAAAGTTTTCAAATTAAATTTGTATAGTCTCCATGTTGCATAAAATACTTAGAATTAAGTTTATAAACCTATAGGTACATGTCACTTTAAGTAGAATTAAGGTTAGAAATATGTCATTGACAGTGGAATTGAGGTATTTAACTAAGGTTACAGATACAAAATAGAGGTTAAGTGGTGGAAATGAGAGATAGAACGCTAATTCCTCATTCTCTTATACCTTCTTATTTTTATCATGGACTACACTTTTTATGGGATTCTCTACAAATTATGGATTCACAAAGTCTAAATTATCTAAATATACAAGCAACCCAGAGGCAATACGAAACACAAATCGCTGGTTTGGTGCAAGACTATCCTAAGTCCATTTTCAAAGAATTGGAGAAAAACACTATTAAACATTTCTATTTATTGTAACTAAATTGTTTTTTGCATAAAAGGAATGCCATACTTCAGGACGCCAATTCTTATGTAAAATATGTAAAATACAAAAAAAAGTTATAGAAGAAAGTTATAGAAGTATAGAAGTACAACAGTTTTTGAGATATACTCCATTTTCCATATATGAAATTGACTATATCTCAAAAACTGCTCTACTTTTATAATTTTTGACATTATCGGATTCAGGGGACAATTCTACATATGAATTGACTATTATGTCGGGGATACCATGGTATCCCATGGTATACCGTGGTATAAGTGAAAAGGAGCCACTATAGTGGTGATATTTACTACTATAGTAGCTGTTACAGCTACAGTAGTAATTAGTCATTTTTGACTAATTCATTTTTAGAGAGTCTCGGCACGTAATTTTTTTTTCTGAATGAAACAATGTTAAATTGCGAGAAAACTGGGTTAAATTAAGTAAACAAATAATTATAAAATCAAATTGTTTTTTTTAATAAATCTAATGGAATCAAGCACAGATTAACTTATTTACATTAAAATTATGCATTTAAAAAAATCGTGACTAAAAACTGTTGCTAACTTCAGCCCGTGATTAAGACCTTATAAAGCCACAACTTGTCAATGTGTATTTAAGGTAGTTGTCGTGCTGTAAGCAAACCATCAGAAAATTAAATTTTTGTATACTTATTAAGGACATGACAAGTCGATTGACCTTCTATAACCCGAGATATATTCAATTAAAAATTGGATAATTAACATGGATTGTATACGCTTTCAGTAGTTCTGTACCAGTTTCTTAGTTATAAAAAAACTAACTGTCAGAAGCTTTCAAAAAACTAACAGTCTTTTAATGTATTTTTGCTGAGTTTAAAAAAAAAATTAAAAATTTTGACCGTCCAATTGTTTATAAATAACCGTTTAAAGTTCAACAATTTGTAAAAAGTATACATCACTAGTGCCAGATAAAAACAACTTGGCAACGCTGTACGCGAGTATAGATATTATTTCCCCAGTAAATTCAAACAGAATGATTCAGTATCCAATATATCTATTGGTTGAGCATAAGCGACGTTGCCGGATTAAAATATTTGAAAGTATTACGTAAAGGTAACGTCTCCAGGGTACAGTCTTGCGAAAAAATTATGAATCACTTAGCTACAACCTCGTATACTTTTACGGTGCGTATAATCTAAAAATTTTTGACAGTATTGTACCACGACAACTACCTTAAACGGTCAATTAGTGTCATGGAAACATGTACGATAATGAGCGTTTTAAAGGCGGGGGTAGAAAAAAGAAAATTGTGTTCTCAAATTTGTTTAAAGTTAATAATATGGTTATTATATGGTTATTACATATATGTATTATACCCCATTTAAAAAATCAAGAAACTTTTGTGTTATGTATTAAAAAAGGACTAAAACTTAACTACTTGTTGTGCCTACTACATTGTACAGTGTACACACTTTGTACGATCGACTTAAACTAATGATCAACTCGGATTCCACTTACTGATATCCATAGTCCAAGTTATCGCCACATCCTCCCCACACCCAGTCTTTTTTCAGGTCCCTGGGGCGTCCCATTCTCGAACATCCACAGGAAGTCAGCTGTCCGTCTCTGCAAGCTCTAGATACGGCATGAGCTACACCTGCCGCTGCCAGGGCGTGTGCGAAAGCCGACTCTCTGCTCGCTGAAAACATTCATTAACGAAATTACCATGCTTGTTTATAAGTTTCTTCGAGTTCACTTCATAAACTATAGTTTTAATGATGGCTATCATTAGGTTTAGATATTTCGAGATCTTAATTGTGTTTTGTATTATTTTCAGTTTCACTTTTTAGATTTCTAGATACATAAGTTTCCAGATGTTAGACGAAACCTATTTTTGCTATTCTTCAAAAAATAATATATAATTTTAACATTCTAAAACGTGTTTTAGATATTCTTAATTGTGTTTTTGACACAACTCATCCAAATATTAAATAAATAATTATAAATTCTTAAAAATTGTAGAATATATACTTTTTAAGTAACTAAGTCATCTTTAAAAGTAAATTAACTTAATTATGCGACATCTGCATACACAAAATATAATTTTTATTTCTAAATATATGTTTTTAAAATAAGTTTTTTGTAAATTGTTTTTTATCGAGTATTTTTTAAAATTAGTCTTGACATTTTAAGTTTTCTTCACCATTTTTACGTGTGTTTTGATATTAAATTTGTTTTTAACATTCAAATTTGTGTTTTTACAATTAAAGGCCTTGACATCCGCTTTCTGCCTCGCAGAGTGCTTTTTGCTCAATGAGACAGTTTGAAATATAGGTGACTTTTCGACCTAGAAGGGACAAGATTGGATTCCATGGATGTTTCAAGATTTAAAAGTTGTCCAATGGCGGATGGATGTTTCTAAAGCCACTGGACGTTAATACATGTAGGTGGTCAGGAAGAGCTTATAAACTCAAGACCAATACTCTCGAAAGAGAGAATAAATAGTTAGAGAAGAAGAAGAAAATTCTTTAAACATTGCTCCTAGTACTACGAATTTTTAGGAAAAACTGAGAATATATTTGTCAAAATAGCTTTTTCCTCCGAGGTCTTCAATTTGTGAGAGCCACAATTTTATTTATTATAATTTTATTTATTACAACTAGTTGTAACAGGCCAAAAAAGAACTTCTTTTCACACTTAGAATGTTTTATAATTTTAAAGCTACACTAGTAACTAGTGCACCCAGAGCTGGAAAGTTACTTCCGAAAAGTATCTAGTTACTTTTCTAAGATACTTTAAACAAAATAACTTAGTTACCTCGGGTAACTAGAGTTAAAAGTATCTTTAGTTACAAGATACTATCCGAAAGTATCTAAGATACTTTTGAGTAACTAAGATACTTTTAAGTAACTAAGATACTTTTGACTAACTAAATTACTTTTAAGTATAAATAAAAACTATAAAATTATAAAAATTCAACAAATTGTAGGTTATAACCTTAAGGCAATTACTTTGAATCATTCTGGAATTCCCCCAATTTTCTCTAATGAAGTATCTAAGTTACACTGAAAAGTATCTAAGTTACTTTAAAAAGTATGTTAGTTACTTTAAAAATTATCTTAGTTACTTTACCGAGTAACTTAAGATATTTTGTTTTTTTTTTTGATTTCGCATCTTTGGGTTCATTTCTATCGACAACCAAGATAATTCTGTTTAAATCCGACTAAATCCATGTTAAAATCACATTTAAAAGGTAGCTTTAGGAGCAAAATCCAATAAATAATAATATGTGGCTTGGATATGTCGATACTACTACTAAAATTTGTTCAGTTTTTTCATGTTTGCACTAAATTTATTTTGTTAATATTTTTGAATAATCAAGGTTTTTTTTCACATTTTATTCGTTTTTTATTCGGTTTTCAAGCAAAATTTTGGCCTTAATATAAAGTTTTTGAAAACGAAAGTATGTCTTATAAATCAAGTACCACAAAGCCCACAAAACTCAAGTTTGCTTTTTCTCTTATCTGTAAAGGCCAGGAAACCGAGAGTTTTTGCCATTTTCCCAACATTTTATTTAAGTTGATATAGCCGGTTTTGCACGTATGCTCCTCAATTATAAAAATGTGGCGTCTGAAATACATTACAACTTGAGGATAAAATATTGTAGGTACCTATGTCATTTTATTATCCTAAAATTTTTTTAAAAATATTTTGTTATAAAACATGACAAAAATTTAATTTATTTTGCAAAATTTAACCCTTTCTAGCCAATTTAAATTTTGCACTTTCTTAAATTTCTTTGCTCTTTTTCAATATATAAACCTATTTTACGATTTTGTACGCACAGTACATTTAGTCATGATATTATTAATTTATTTTGGAAAATAATAAAATTAAAATTAAAAGTGTTAGAAATTTAAAATAAGAAATCACAAACATGCTGTGATTCAGAATAATTACATGATCAAATTACCAGCTAAATAAGGATAAATTACATTGAGACAAATAATTACAAGCTTTAATGAAATAAATGCTCGTTAGTGGTCGTTACGGAGTGACTGAGCAATATAGAGAATAATTTTACGTTTAATTTGTTAAAACTTAATCCTTATGTTATTTGAAAAGCATGCTACATATGTACTAAGGTATAGTTGATGACTCAATTTAAATAATCTGCTAATTATGTTATACTCTCAGGAAAACTAATTTGCAATCTGGATTTATTTTTGCAAGTACCTAACCAAGAATTTAATGGTTGTAATTTCGCAAAAAGTTTTGATTTATTAATTCTATTAATGCTTAATTAAGCAATGGGTAAGTAGTAGTAAGTGACACCATTAAATTATTTATTGCTGTTAGTTTATTTTTTTATTCGTTAATATAAATATTTATTTATAATAAATTTATATATGCATATTTAAATATTATGGAGAAATTTATTCGATATTATGTTAATCGTATATAAGCTGACCGACAAAAATAAATCCTGTTTTTGTTGGCACACCTGTCTAATTTAACATTTTTACATTTTGTTTTAAATATAATTTATAATTCTATTTATGGGTATTTTTTTATTTGAAGAGCTACGAGGTCTGTTAATTTAAAGAAAAGTTGCCTAATTACAAGGGGTCATTGCAAGAAGTCACATTTTCAATAAAATTGACATTGTGGCGCTATCTAAATTACGAATTACTATAACTAATAGGTGTAGGTTAGTATTTATTATTAGTAGACAGTATTGTTTTTGATATTGTAAAAAATGTAATTTTTCCATGTGTATTTTTTTTATGTAAGGCCATTTTGAATCTACTAGACAACAATAATTAAGACGAATATACCTATAGAAATGTATAAAAATTATATAAACTTTAAGTACAACATTACAATCATCACAAGAAATTAAAAGTAAAAATAATCATCATAGACCAAGAAACTGCAGATAATATAATAAGTTATATTAGACAGTTAAGCTTCTTTGTTTAGACTGTAAACCTACTCTGACAATGGTAAAGGACTGTTCTTGTGGGGCGCCAATGAATTTAAATAATAAGTAATAAATTTCCTTGTGCTATAGGACGACATGCATGATTTATATTGAAATGGGCAACGTGCATACGTTGAATGAAACGGGGAAGCGGTAAAAAGCAGTGTCGTGGTCAGGCACGTATGGTCATTTGCGGAGAGACATGCCGCATCGGAAGATGCAAGAAAATGCATGTAGGCATGGGGATTGGGGACCGGCCCGGACAGCCGCGTGGTGACAGAAGCGGAGCGAGTAATCTCATCACGCGCGCCGAACAAATCACGGCCCACTGAGTGATTAGTTACGAGTAATTATGCAAATCGGTGCGAACAGTGCCGGCTTTAGCAAAGCCAGACTATGGTACGAACGATAATACTTTGACAATTTTCTTACAAAATGCCTTTACCAATTTAGCAATAAGATGTCAAAAATCTGTATATTTTAAAAATGTAATATTGTTTATGAGGCAAAATGCACCAAAATGCACCAAACCTGCCAAACTTGGAACCGTTGTATACAGGGACCCTGTAACAGGGTGTCTCTTTAAGAACGAGCAATGCTCTATAAGTCTGGACCCAAAAAATATATCAACAGTTCTTCCTGTTTCTAGGATATGTGGGGGATTCACAAGTATTTACTTCTTTATGCCAATATTTTAAGACAGGTATACCACAAGGTAGCATTGCTGGACCTCCCCTATTTATTATTTATTTAAATGATTTAAAAGACTGCTTCATAAATGATACAGATGTTTTAATAAACTATGCTGATGACAGCAATATCATTACAGAAAGTTTGAAAGTTTGATGGAGAACGCAGAAGGGGGTTGCATAGTCTTGTCCAGGTTTAACAAAAATTAATTAATCTTGAATACAGACAGTCTAATTTTGTTATTTTTCGAATAAACAATAGTTACCTAAATGTACCTGAGCAATCTGTGATAAACATTGAACTTGTGTCCTTTGTAAAAGACACAAAGTTTCTGGGTGTCTATATAAATGAAAATTTAAGTTGTCATAAACATGTTCAACAGATCTATAATAATCTTAACAAAGTCTTATATAGTTTAAGAGTTTTGTATCAATATATTAACCTCGACACTCTAAAGATTTTTAGAACAGTGGATTTATAGAATGGCCTTCCAGATCATCGGATCTGACACCATTAGACTTTTTCTTATGAGGTCACTTAAAATCTGTGGTCTACAAAACTCAGCATCATTATATTGAAGATCTATAAAGAATAGTTCAAGAATGCCGAGATTTTCAATGACACATTTTAATATGTTCGAAGGAAATTTGATAATAGACTGTACTAATGCAAAATAATGGGAGTAATTTTGAGCATTTATTTCTGTAATGTACTCCAATATTTATCAAATTGAGTGAAGTCTTTCGTATACACAGAACTGTCAGGGTTTACAGTGGTTTAGTAATTAGCTTATATCTTCCACAAAAATTAACCAATTAAAAAAAAAACATATATGATTTTAAATCACATTTTTATGCGGTACATTATGGCCTACTTTATTTTTTTATATGTTTAAAAAACATTTTTCTCTAAAAAGATCGTTTTTATTACATTTTTTTTTGGCGTGGTTCCAAGATTAAATTATACAAAGCCGATTTCCACTTGACTTGGAATGGGATAAAATAAGCTATGACATCAACAATGGTCGTGAGTTCA